ATCTGCTTTGTCCAGCCCCTTCGTGCTGTTGAAAAGCTCAACTGAATTTCCTCTCAGCCTTCTCTTCTCCAAGGAAAACAGTTCTAACTTGTCCAGTCCATTTTCATAACTGAATTCTTCACCCCTGGAACCATTCGCATGAATCTTTTCTGCATTTCTCCAATGCTTCCATATCCTTCCTGAAATGTAGTGACCAGAATAGTTCACAACACTCCAGCAAGATCAACATAACCTTTTGTTGGGTCCTGAGGACTATGCCGTGTTAATAAAGCCCAGGATACTCTATGCTTTATTAACCAATCTTTCAACCTGTCCTGTCCCTTCAATGCTTCATGTTCATATAAATCTCGGTCCCAATGTTCCTACATGCTGTTTAGAATTCTACCTTTTTTATGTTGTCTCTCCATGATCTTCCTAGCAAGGCGAATCATTTTTCTGCATTGAAACTTTCTGCCACTTATATGCCAAGTCCACTAACTTGTCAATATACTTTTGAAGTTCTACACTATCTCCTCTTAGTTTTCTTTGCTTCCAAGTTTTGTATCATCTGCAAACATTGAAATTATCCCCTATATACCACAGTGTAGGTCACTAATATAGGAAGTATCAGGAAAAGTAAGGGTCCCAATATTGATTGCAGACAAATACAAACCTTCCTCCAGCCCGAAAAACACCATTAACTACTATTCCTTTTCCTGTCACACACCCAATTCCCATATGCAAGTTGCTACGGTGCCCGATCAACTGGAATATATTTACAAGTTTGTATTTAGAATGAACATAGAACATAAAACAGTACAGCACAGTACAGGCCCTTCGGCCCAAGACGTTGTGCCGACCTATTATCCTACTAAGATCAATTTACCCTGTATACCCTACATTTTACTATCCTCCATGTGCTTATCCAAGAATCGCTTAAAAGTCTCTAAAGTATCTGACTCCACTACCACTGCCGGCAGTGCATTCCACACACCCACTACATTAAAAAAAATGTTGAACTGCTACAGTGGTGAAATAAAGTAATTGCTTCTTGATAATGTAGATTAGATCCAACATAAGAGAATGAATTAAATCAGTCCACATTAATTTTTGCTACAGAGGAAGAGATTTAGCTTGACAGAATTAACAAAATTAACATTGCAATATACTGAGCTTTGGAATCCTGCATATCTGATATAATGTAAAACTATACGTTCAAGAATCAAAAACAGATGCAGTCTGTCAACATAAATAATTTACAAACTCCCATTTGAAGAACACCCAATCATCAAGTAGTAAATTAATTTTTAATACAACCAGTTCATCACATTATATTGGTCACAGATGAAAAAGGCAAAATAAACGCATCCTTCCATGCAACACTCTCTTGAATCCCAAGTTCCAGGTTTATTATTTTTTTTATCCATTTTCTTTGACTTGTTATCTCCCTTTTCTTGTTCAAGAAATGCAAAAAACAGTAGTAGACCCTTTTGCTCTCAAGGCTGTTGGGCCATTCAATTAGATTACGGTTAATCTGTACCTGAACTCCATTTAAGTGCGTCTTATCCCTTGATGCTCTCATCAATCATGGCTTTAAAAAGCTCAATTGGCCATATTTTAGGCCAGTGAGTTCCAGATTTCCACAATAATTCATGTGAAGAAGTACTTCTTGACATCACCCCTGTTCAGTCTAGCTTTAATTTTAAGGTTGGGTCTCTCGCTCTGGTCTCAACTACCAGTTGAAACAGTTCCTCTGTATCCATCATTTTCAATCCCTTAAAAAATGTATTTACTCAATTAGACTATCCTTCAAGCCTTCAAACTCAAGGAATTGTAAACCAATTTTATACAATCTGTCCTCGGAATTTAACCCTCAAGCCTCAAGGCATACTGACGAAGCTGCACTGCATCCCTTTTAAAATTAAGATCGCTCTCCTGCGGTTCAATGCCAACCACAGTACTCCAGATATGATCTGACTGATACATTGCATCACTGATAGATCACTTCCACAAGTTTGAATTCCAATTCTCCTATCCTCCTCTGTAGATAATATCTATTAGAATTAGACTTTGATTCCTTTTTTACCTGCACACTAACTTTTAGCGATCTGTGTCAATGAACATGTTAATTGACCTTTGTTCCTTTATAGCTCAGGCCCCCACTGCTAAGATCAGAGCCAAAGTGGATACAATTTCACATTTCTTCATTCAATCCACTCACTTAATCCATCTGTTTCCTTCCAATCCTGTCCATATCCACACAACTTACTGAGCCTCTTAAAGTATATTTCACCAACTTGGATAGAACTCTAGTTTTCATTCAAGTTATTGCTGTATAGTGAAAATATGAGACCCTTTCGATGTTTCTATATCTTTCTATTTAAGATTTTCTCTGTCTGTTAGCTTCTTCCTTGTCTTCTTCTATCATCATTTCTGTCTGATCATCAATCTACTCGATGGTTCAATCAATTTGTAAATTTCACACCTTTACACTAGTTACTCCTTAATTTTTTATTTAGCAATAGTTTTGGATTTGCTTTGTACTTATATTTGCTTTCACAATCTCAACATGACAAAGACCAACTATTGCCATCTTGGAACACTGCTTGACAGCTGCTGCAGAAACACTATTGCGTTTGCAACCTCTGACTTCAGCTATATCCAGGCTAGGATCCCACATTTATCTGAAACTCCACTCTACATGTTTCAACTCGGACCAAATCCTGTTCCCCAATCACCCCAATGCTTGCTGACCTTTACTGGCTCCAGTCATGCATTACCTTGATTTCAAAATTTTGTTTCAAGATTTCAAATCCCTCCAGGGCCTAGCCCCTCCGCATCTCTGTAACTGTCTGCAGCCCCGCAACCCTAAGCTCCTCTAATTCTGAAGTCCTGAGCACCCTTATTTTAAGTGCTCCACCACTGGTGGCCACGCCATTAGCTGCCTAGCCCTAAGCTTCGAATACCATCCTTACATCTCTTTACCTCACTATAATTCACTATGCTCCTTTAAGACACTACTTAAAACCTATTTTACAAAACAAAGCTTTTGGTCACCTGACCTAATATCTCCAGATAAAAACCAAAGGACCTGCGGATGCTGTAAATCAGAAACGAGTACAGAAATCGCTGGAAATGCTCAGCAGGTCTGGTAGCATCTGTGGAGAGAAATCAGAGTTAACGTTTTTGGGTCACGTGACCCTTCCTCATAACTGGGGAAAGGTCACTCAACCCTAAATGTTAACTCTGGTTTCTCTCCACAGATACTGCCAGACCTGCTGAGCTTTTTCAGCAATTTCTGCTTTTGTTTCTAACATCTCCAGATATTAATGTCAAATTTTATTTTATACTGCTCCTGTGAAGTGCCCCAGCATTTTATTATGTTGAAGGCCCTTTGCAAGTATTTACTGTTGGGGGATGGGAGTTGTGTTTCTTCCGGATTGTGGAGATTTGGACGTGACCATCAGACGCACCATTCAGACAGGAATGAGCAAATGCCCAGCCTCGGAAAGGATAGTGACTGCCGAGTGGGCTAACAAAAAGTGATTTTCCTTGCACAGAAGAACAGAACAAGAAGTGAGTAATCACAAACATTCGTGTCTGTTCTCTTTTCGAACAAATAAGTGACACTGAGGGATATAGTACTCACAGATTATACAACTGCAAAGAAACATAAAATGTTGTGACACAAGACTCAAGTTAAAGCAGATGAGACAGCACACCCCAGAACAAAGCAGTTTGCACTAACAAAAATTGTTAAGGGTATTGAAAAAGGGACGGGGGCACATTTTAATTATTTTCACAGAATTGTTTTCTATCTTTATTGTTTCAAATGTTTTGTTTCAGGAAGAGATTTATAATGGCCAGAGATGCAACATAATATCAGGAATGCTAATTTGTACTTAGTTATACGACAGCTCTTTATTCAGTGGATAAGGTTTGAAAGAAACTTTTTTCATTTGATTTTTTTCTATTACAAGGTATTCTGAGATTCTACTGTAAAGGTATATGACATCTAAAAATGTATTGTTATTTACAGCTACTTGTTCCATCACGGAGAAAGTGTATGAATGGATCCATCCACGTGTTTTATCTTTCTATATCTGATGTATTTTCCTATAGGAAGTCATTGCTGCTGATGTTATCGCTGTGCGCCCACACCACACTAAAATATCAGAACCACAAGTGGTCACCCGTTGCACAACCATAAGTGATGCGCCTGTTATTGCTGCCTCTACCTGGGGGTCCTGCCAAAGGCATCCCTCACTGGCCATTTCACTCAGGTCACTGGGCAGCGACTGAGGCAGTGGGTGAAGCACCAGGGCTCTTTCTGAGCTCTGGGTCAATGATTTTGTAACTCATTTCAGAGCCACCAGGCTGCCACATGATATTAAGTTTAAGCTTGAAGCACTTCCCTGGCAGTGATACCACAGCCATTGCAACTGCATGGACTGAGTGCGTGCACCCCTGCTTGTGGAGTGGCAACAAATGCAGCTTTCTACATTATGAACTCACATGTTATAGCAACACAAAATATGTTTAGCTGGCAACCATGTACAAATTTACAAACTGCTATAGTTTATACAAATGCGGCACACACCACTAACCTCAGAATAATGGTCAACAGTGACAAGGGAAACTTTCACAACTGGACAGACCTAATTGGATCACTGCAATTTTTAGATATTTATTGGAATATTTCTTGTACCATTTATCGAAGTACTGTATTGAATATTGTTAAAATTAGATTCCATTTATTAGCACCATTTTCAGGAAGATACAGCTGCGCTAGGTTGGAATGGTCACAATGGCTGATTTTCAGAGAAATGTAAATACTAAATGAAATTACAATCAAATTTAGTGAGAAAAATTGATGACCGTGGAAACAAAAGTTATAGAACCTGCAAAGATACTGACATAGTTTAGTTATATATACATTTGCTGCATTAATGATTTTTACCAGACATCCTATCAAGACTTTAAAAATTTCTTCGAAAAAAATTCTTCAACCAAATTCTTACCTCCTTTATCTATTGTGTAGGTCTTAAATGCAAAGTTTGAGTTAACATTCTTTAAGAAATTCAGTACTGTTTCAGGAGGATGTTGGCTCCACCGTTTTCGAGGGCTACTTTTAGGATAAATTGTCACATTATCACCTAATAAACAGAATGCGTCAGCGTCACCAAATGAATCAGAACTTCCTTGCAAGAAGTTTTTGCAAAACCATACAAGACAGGAAGAACAGTTACCGCTGCTCACGTCCTCAACAGCCAAGTTGGATGTCAGTTTCGCATTTTCAAGTATATTTAACACTGTTGCTGGGGGAATGTCACCCCATTTCTTTCGACCCGGCACACTAGAAGAAGTTTTACCACTTTGGATTATCACATGGTCCCCCTTTGGTGTTACTGGTAATGAAGTAAACAGGGTTACAAATTGCAACAACAATAGACAAATATAACACAGTGTGGAGCTGGCAGAACTTTTTTTTTTTTTTTTTTTTTTTTTTTTTTTTTTTTTTTT